CTTGTGAACCCCTTCATGTTCCTGGACAATCGACATCTGCCTTGACACATGGTAATTGACCTGACCGAGCTGCTCCTGCGGTTATAAATGCTTGGCCACGTTTCTGAGGCTGAATGGGATGAACTTCTCCCCAATGTACAGATCTCAGCACACAATATGGCAACGCTCCGTCATTTAACAAAAGGCCGATCTTATGGGCGCCTCCCCAGCAGATTTCCGCAGGATACAGCGTACAGCAGGGGTCTCAAACTCCTTTCGCTCGGGGGCCACTCAACAATTTCTTTTCTCCCGTGGGGGCCCGCTGGCCAAATTTCATAATTCAAAATAAAATGTAACTCTGTCCGGTATGATACTGCGTACCCCAATACACACACAACACGGCCCCATTCATATCTGTAGGTTTAGGTGCGATTAGGGTTTCCTGCGTCAGGAACTTTGTGTTTTCCTGCAGCAGGAATCCCTAATCTGGCGTTTACAAGCGGCAGCTGTCACCCATTGAAGTTAATGATCAGGTGACAGCAGCTCCATGTAAACGCCTGCACACCGCATGTAATGATACAGTACGTGATAGGATTACATGCGGTTAGAAAACACTCTCCCTGGATGCACGATCGATGCGTCCAGGGAGAGTGATTGATTCCTAAGCGAAATGTAATCATATGACATGTCATTCCTGTAATATCACGGAGAAGTCTGGTACCCCATACTCTGATATGCCTTGAGGGTACGTTCACACCGTATGCAGTGCGTTCCGGTCCGATTCTGGCCGGGACGCACTGCATCCGGCTCACTTTTTAGTAGGGCAAGAGGGGGCGTGGCGGGCCATTGAAGTGAATAGCACCGTAGCCACGCCCTCCGGCCGCAATGTGATCGCAAAGGCACATCCCAGACAGCGAGGATAACTTGCCACAAACTTGTGTCCGGGTTACATTGTGATTCTTGTTGACTTGCTGCGCACATTCCCGGCACGTTGTAGACTCGCAGAACACTCGCAGCAGCACAAGTTCTAGGCGACACTTTTTGAATTTGTAGCAAATTTGCTCGGCAAGTCTCCAGCCAGAGTCCTGCGGGTCTGAGGAAGAGCTCTGCAAGCTGGCTGGTCTGGAGACTCGCAATGCGGACTCGCTGTAATTGTGCAACAAAATTGTGACGCGCGGCCAGTCTGCGATAGTTTAGCGAGTCATTTCCAAACTTGCAGCTCAATTGCTCGCTATCTGGGCCTTGTGCCTGCGGTCCGGTGCAATCAAAATAGTCCTTGCAGCATTCTGATTGCACCGGGCCGGACCGCAGGCACAATGTGCCTCGCAATCCTGTGCGGGCGACCACATTGCGGCCGCAGGGCGTGGCTACGGTGCCGTTCCCTTCACGCCCCCTCCTGCCCTACCAAAAAGTGCGTTCCGGCCAGAATTGGACGGGAATGCACTGCATATGGTGTGAATGTACCCTGAGGGCCTGTTCACATGAGATCAGGTGCTGATCAGCAGACGTGGAGCTGCTGATGCAGTGCGTTTTTGATGCGTTTTCGGTCCGGATGCCGACAGTTCATTTTTTTTTTTTAGCCAAGGGGCAGCATATTAACCCCTCACATGACAAACTTTATTTGGATTACATGACCACGATGTAGACAGTTAGTCTACATAAAAGATATGTGTGTAGTCGCTCACCACATTCTTTTTTTATGGGCACTACTGTAGAGCGAGAAGTCATCGTACAGCTGTGATGCTTTCTCGGTCCACTTTTTGTTTTTTTTAACTGTACATTTTTAAACTGTGCGTTGCTGCGGGGGTCATAAAGCATTGGAACATGCTCCACTAATCCAACAAATCTCTCGATATCCAGGTCCAGATTGCTCATGACTGCTTCTTTTTCCTCTGATTCTCCACCACAAACAGGATGTCCAACGTTGATGACATCATAATAAGTGGAGCAAGAATACCATTTTATTTTTTTTCCCCCCCTTAGCTGCATTGCGTTTCGTGCGCGTTCGTGCGTTTCTGGACCAGACAAAATGTGGCATGCAGTATTTTTTCTGTCGTAAGCTGAACGGATTGCGCACGTGAGAACTGTAGCCCATAAAACACATAGGGGTACATTGGGATGCATTTTGAGTGCAGGAGCGTACGGATCCGGTCAGCACACAAAACGGACGTCGTGCGAACAGGCCCTGAGGCCCATTTGCAGAAGTCACGAGCCGATCATAATAGAATAAGATATCATCACTGCGGTGCCTGGAGTTCTGCTCTAAAATAAAGTGTACATCTATCTACAGAAAATATAGAAGAGTGCAGTAGAAGCATTTTTTGTTGCGTGGTGTGATTACGGCAGGGACAAGGCGGGGGCAATTGCCCTGGGTGCAGTGTTTTTATGTGGTGGGGGGCACTCTGGGAACTTACCCTCACTCCGTTCTCCAGCTGCTGAATTGGCAAGAGTAAGAGCAGTGTCACTCCTGCCACACCAGGGGGCCGTGATAGCTGCTTCTCCTCTCTCCAATAGCAGCCGACTATGGGTGGAAGAGAGAAGGGGAGGGGCACCCGCTATGATTGGGCCTCCTTGTCAGCACGAAACATACGGATACCTTGTCGCACTCCTTACCGGAAAGCCCCAATGCCAAAGCTGTCCTCGTCGGACTGATCCCGCCGACGGTGGTATTTTGGCCTCCCGCTGACACGGCGCCATTTTTTTCCCCAACCAACACTTTCTTCCAGTGATACCACCAATGCAGAAACATTTCTTCCTTCGCCGCTGTTGGCCCATATTTTACTACAGGACAGAATGATCACCTCTGTTAAAACTCGTATGTTACACACATTTCGGCGCGGCACATTCAGTGCACCGCTATTAATAGGGATGCACCGATACAGAGGATTTGAGGGAGTATTTGTACTCGCCCAAATGCTCCTGATACCTGAGCTTCGGGTAGCAGAAAGCCGGGCAGCGAGTCATTAGAAGGCGCCCAGGTGCCTGATTGGCTGGGAAGCCAACTCCATGCTCCCTCGTCACTTCCAAATCAGGAAGGCGGGCAGCTTTTAATGACTCGTCACCTAGCTTCCTGATTGGTCAGGAAGCCGGCCAAACAGGAAGCCAGACAGCGAGTCATTACAGGCCCCCCGGCTTTCTGATTGAAAAGAAAGCCGGCTTTATGCTCCCTCGTCACCCGGTGACGAGGGAGCATGGGGTCGGCATCCCGGCCCCCTGCCTGTAATGACTCGATGTCTGGCTTCCTGTTTGGCCGGCATCCCGCCCAATCAGGAGGAGTCATTAAACGCTGCCCGGCTTCCTGGTTGGCCAGCTTCGACCAATCAGGAAGCCGGGCAACGAGTCATTACACAGCGCCAGGCTTCACGATTGGCCAGAAAGCCGGGTCCATGCTTCCACGTCACTTGGTGATGAGGGAACATGAAGCCGGTCAAATGAGGAAGCCGGGCAGCGTGTAATGACTTGCCGTCTAGCTTCCCGATTGGTCGGGAAGCCGGCCAATGAGTCATTACAGCCCCCCCCTGGCCAAATCACCTGTTGATGAGGGAGCACAGGGCCAAAATCAGGAAGACGGGCGCCGTGTACTGACTCCTTGTCCGGCTCCCCGACCGGCCAGCTTCGGTATCCGCTTCAGCTGTGGCGTCTCAGTATACCGCGAGCTGTAGCTCCCTATATACTGAGCCTAGGGTGACGGGAGGACGCTAGTTTGTGTCCTCCCGTTACCCTAAGGAGGAAGCCGGGCAACGAGTCATTACACGGCACCAGGCTTCCCGATTGGCCAGAAAGCAGGGTCCATGCTTCCACGTCACTTGGTGACGAGGGAGCATGGAGACGGCTTCCATCCTAATCGGGAAGCGAGTCTTTAAGCGCCGCCCGGGTTTCCCGGCTAATCAGGAAGCCGGGTGGGGAGTCATTCCACGCCGCCTGGCTTCCTTAAAAGGGACTTCCGTTATTTGGTAAAAAATAATAATAGGTACTCGTACTCCATACCGGTAATCGGTGCATCCCTCGCTACTGACCTAGCTCTCTGTTCCACCCAGGAGAGGGCACATCGGCATCTCCGCCCTGGATGACCTTGCCCCCGGCACTGCGCGTGATAAGATGGCCTTTCACTTTTGCTGCAAAACATCTACCGCAAACTATAACCCCAATTTTTTTTACCTCCAATCACTTCAATTTCCGACATACAAAAGTATTATTTCAGTATTTTTTTTATTACTGTATATTGTTAAAACCGTATTAAAAAAAAAAGAAGCTCACTTTTAGTATAACGTCATCCCATGGTGGACGCATGGCAGTTAGAGACAAACTAGCACACACACACACAAAACTCCTCATCCATCCTACAGACATGAAAACCTTCACCAGTTCTACTCATAGGGCTCGTTCACACCAGCAGCACCGGGGTTTGCCTTTTCCCAACGTGGTTCCGATACCAGAACCACGTCTTCAGTTCACATCAACACGCCGCCTTGGTGTGCACTAAGGACGGGCGCGTTCGCAGCTCCACGTGCCGAGCCCGCCAGAAAGCTGACAGCGCCAATCACAGGCACGGAGACATCATCCCGATCTCTGCAGCTGCGGACCGGGAACATGTCTCAGTACCTGCGATTGGCTCTGTCAGCTTCCTGGCGGGTTTGGCACGTGGAGCTGCGAACACGCCTGAGCCCGTCCTTAGTATGCACTGGAAAAAAAAAAGTAGGACGTTTCATATTCGCGCAGCAGAGCGTGTTGTGAGGCGCGGTTACACGTCACAACGCGCTACAGCGCACAAAACTTACATACCAGTTGGGGGGGGGGAAGCAAATCGCTGTAATGGGTTTCAACAATGCACTGCAGTGAACATTTACAACGCACACCAGCGTGTTATGTACATTAATGTTGTGGTGCGAACGAGCCCCTTAGAAAAACACATGTATACGTGTACACGCAGACAACGTCCACTGTGGCGCAACGCTCCCTATGCCGCCTGCTTCCTCTTCTCCAGGGATGGCTGCACCGGGTGGGCAAAGGCATGTGTCGTTGGCATGTAGCTTGTGTGAGGGATCCCTCCCGCTTGTCCATCATGGAGTTAAATATTATCCGGAGACTCTGGAAACAAAAAAATAGGAAGCGGTTACTATAAAGCGATATGATCGGGACCCACGTGGATCAGTGGCAGCAACATCCTGCATTTTAGATACCCAAACCTTGTATGTAGGTAACAATGAACATGCATACGGCGGTAATGCAGTCTATTGTTTGCTAGCATGCCGGCGTTAGCCATCTGCATGGTAGCAATGGGACACTGGGAGGCATCGGCCACCGACATCCTAGCAGCAGAGGGCTCTTGCGTCCTTCCCCTCCCTCCGCTTGTGTGCAGCGCTCACGCTGAGCGGGGAAACTGTCAGCAATGTAAACAGCCAGCGATGGCCGTCTCTAGAGATGCCCGATCGCTTGCATTGGGTGTGACTCTTCACTTCAGCCACTAGATGGTGCTAAAAGTATATGAAGTATATGATCTTCAGCACCAAAAAACATAAAAACGTGCGTTAGAAATGCTGGCGGAGCTCACCAAACGTAACCGGATGGCCGCCTGCAGCCTGGCTCTAGTACGTTTAGCCGCGATGTCTTATGCCAGCGGTAGGCAAACTCCGGCCCTCTGGCTGGGGTGGAACTAGGGTTGCTCACCTGTCCCGGATTCACCTGGACAGTGCGGGTTTTGAGTTCTGTATATGCTGTTTCCGGGTCAGCTGAAACGCAGACACAGCACATACAGGACTCAAAACCGGCACTGTCCAGGTGAATCCGGGACAGGTGGGCAACCCTAGGTGCAACTACAAGTCCCATGAAGCATAGCAAGACCTTGACAGCCATATAGCCATGACTCCCAGAGGCATGATGCATGATGGGGGTTTGTAATTTCGCCACAGCTGGAGAAACAAAGTTCACATTAAAGTGAAATTAAGCCCCCCCCACTTTACATCTGACCCTTTCGAGTGTGTCAAATGGCCTCTGCAGGGCGCTATGGTCTCCCGGACCCTATGTTAGTACTTTGTTGGGAATAACCACAAGCACGTTTCTCACAATGTTATCCCCAATAACAGCTACAGGCTCCAGCTGTCACATTACCTCTCTCTGTTTGAGGCACTGCGACAGCTTGAGCCGCCAGGTTCGCTTGTAAACAGAGTCATGTGATCGCTGTGTCATAGCCAGGGCTTGAAAAATCCGCTCGTCCTGAGGACGCCGGACGGGTAGCTTCCCGGCCGGCCATTGTAATTAAAACGGCCGGCCGGGAGCTTTACATTCGAGCGATCGGGCAGCTCTAGAGACAACCGAGCGCTTGTATTAGCAGCAGCCGTCACTGCCTTTGCCGGTCCCGAGATCCGCTGTACCCGGTCTCTGACGGGATCAAAGGGAGCTCGGTACACGATCTCCCTTTGATCCCGGACCAAGGCGCACCGGACCATAGGACGCAGGGAGGGGCTCTGTGACAGAAGCTGCAGTTACTGACAGCTGAGACAGGTGGCGCTGTGATTGCACTATGATTACAGCGCCACGGTCTCAGTGATCACACAAGAGCAGACAAAGAATGGACGTTCTTCGTCTGCTCTAGGGGCTCTATGGTGAGCTCCTATGCCGTGGTCACGGGTCCCCCAGAGGAGCGGCAGACCCCGAAAACCACGTGCGGACACGATCGCCGCTGCCGCTCGGTTTTAATACAAGTGATCTGGTTAGATCACTTGTATTAAACGAGCAGCAGCTCCCACTGTACATTTAGCTCTGCTTTAGCACGCACATTTCCCCCCGGGGGGGGGGAAGTGCGTGTTTTTGAGACGGTTACAGGGTCGCTTTGAGTAAATAGTTACAGTTGAACAATAATGCAATGAAGGGGGGTACACATAAAATCCCTCAGCTCACCGGTGGCAGCCGGCGCGTGTGTCCTCCTCAGTTTAGGAAATGTGAGGAAAGCATCATAAGCCAACAGCACACCGGTCAATAGCCCAATCACCTGAAAGCAACAAGAGAAATGGTTAGTGTTCATTGCCAGCAAACCGTTCATTAGTTCAGAGTCCGGCTCTATAGTGACGTTGTCCTTTAATTAATGGCCCCCACCCCCTAAACGCAGGCAGCCCGGTGCAGAGTACTTACCTTCATCCCTGGTACAGCAGCCTCCGACATGGTCCTGGCCGGCTCCTGTCCATGCTGTGCATGCTTGGCATGAGATCTCCCGCTGACCGTCAGTGCGGAGGGAGCATGGAGCCGTCTTCCTTTCCAATCAGGACGCCGGGCGGTGGGTTATGACCCGCCTCCCGATTAGCTAGGAAGCCTGCTTCATGTGTTGCTAAGCAACCAGACATCCTAACCAATCAGGAAGCCGGGCAGCACGTAATGACCCGCCTCCCTGATTGGCCAGGAAGCCAGGTCTGCTTAGGATCAAGTGAAGCCACCTTCCTAGCCAACCAGGAAGCAGGTTATGACGCGCCGCCCGGCTTCCTGAATGGCTAAGAAGCCGGATTCAGGTGTTGCTAAGCAGCCTGGCTTCCTGACCAGAAAACCGGACGGCACCTCATGCCTCTCTGCCCCGGCTTCCTGATTGGTCAGTAATCTTCACAGGCAATCAGGAAGCCCGGTGACGGGTCATGATCCGCCGGCCGACTTCCTAATAAATCGGGGCACAAGGCACCAGTACTCGGTATCGCCGAATATTGGTCCTCGTACTCGATACCGAAAAAACGGTACCGGTGCATCCCTAAGGTCTCGTTCACACCTAGGCTTATTGCATATGCGCGTTTGTCGCGCGACCTTCGCGCGGTTTTTTTACCGCGATTCGCGGTAAAAAGTTGCGCGACCGTCGCGCGTTTCCGAAGGCTACTTGGCTGTATCCCAATGGAAACGCGCAACAAAACGGCCCAAAGTAGCACCTGTACCTTTTCAGGCGCGGGCCGTTTTGTAGCGCGTTAGGGACGGGCGGAAATACGCCAAGGGGGGAACGAGACCATTGAATACAATGGGATTTATATTTTTGAGCGTTTTGTAGAGCGTTCGTCGAGCGTAGAACGCGCTACAAAACGTTCAGGTGTGAACGAGGGCTTAGAAAGACATAGAATAATGTACGCTTTGCAGCACTGATTACCGCGTGCCGTGCATGTCCGTCTACATCCCCTGCCGCCACTTCTCTGTACATCTGCACCACAGATGCGGGCGGATGCGTCTTCTGAATGGCATGACCAGGATCTCTTTGGAAGCGCCGCCAGTCACGGCAGAGGTGTTGGGGCTGTAGAGGGAGCGGTCATATAATGGCCACTAGGAGTTCAGTGCATCGTACAAATGCCATGGGTGATAATTAGGGATGCACTGATACCGCTATTTCGGTGGCGAGTAGTTTTCCCAGTACTCGCAGATACCAAATACCGATACCGCTAGTCCCGTTCAGGAAGCCAGGCGGCGTGTAATGACTCACCACCCGGCTTCCTGATTAGCAAGGAAGCCGTCCCCATGCTGCTCGTCACTATGCGACGAGAAAGCAATCATGGAAGCCGGGCGCCTTGTAATGACGCGGCTCCTGGCTTCCTCATTGGCCAGGAAGCCGGCTCCATGCTCCCTCGCCAATCAGAAAGCCGGACGCTGCGTTATTACACGCTGCCTGGCTTCCCGATTGGCCGGGAAGCCGGCTCCATGCTCCCTCGTCACAAGTAACGCGTTGCCCGGCTTCCTAATACAGGAAGTATCTGGCTGGGCATCGGAGCATTTGGGCGAGTACGAGTATTCGCCCCAAATACTCGGTATCGGCACTGATGCTAGTATAGGTGGATCCCTAGTGATAATGCGGGAGCATAACTGGGAGTGTTGTCACCCTATAAACAGGAAGTAATCTTCATGGCGGGATCAATAGGTATGTTTCATGAAAGCTACGCATTTAAAAATGTTTGAATGATTTTTTGAAATGCCATTGGCACGGTCACGGAAATGGCGCGGTCACGCTGATGAGATTTTAGCGACTGGGGTTACTTATACTTTAAGGAGAACTATGATCCCTGCTCCGATCCTCCAGCACTGACTGGCGGAACGGACGGGGGAGGGGGCGGGTACAGCTGGCTCTGCCTCTAGATAGGCAGAGCCAGCTGTCACTCACGCAGCTGGGCGTGAGCTGCGGCGTCTCAGTATACCGCGAGCTGTAGCCCGCTATATACTGAGCCTAGGGTGACGGGAGGACGCTAGTTTGTGTCCTCCCGTTACGCTAAGGAGAACTATGGGGAAAAGACTTAACCCCATAGTTCTCCTTTAAGCATTTTCATTTTTAGGTTCAGTGCTACAACAAGTTCATGGGGAAGTGGCGGGGGGGGGTTTAATCTAAGATAATATCTGCATGTCCAAAAATCAGCAAGCTTGCTACTCACCGATCCGGCTATACCAGCCCCGTCACCACCGCGGATGAGACATATAATGCAGAGGATGATGAAGAGGGCGGCGCCTAAAGCTGCGCGTAGGAAATCCTAAAAACGGACAAAGAGAAAGAAGAAAAAAATTGTGATTCCAAAAATACAACAAATACAGATGACCGCTTAAAGTGAACCTGCTCTGCCCTTAACCCCTTCATGACCAGCGACGTCCAGTGTATGGCATCGGGGCTTCTGCCGCCGGGACTCTGTTTAAACTTGTAAAGCCGATCCGTCGGCTTTACATTAGGAGCGATTTTGGTGACTCAGCTGTCGCCAGATCGCTTCTACGGGCCGGTGAACGGGTGCTCCCCCCCTGCCTGACACCCCCGCCGTGTTTCCCGGGCTCCTTTGCCCCTCCTACGGGCCCGGCTTCTCTGGCGTCGGTGGGGAGCTGGGGAGGAGATGGACGAACCTCCGTTTACTGATCTCCTCCCTGTTCTATGGGACCGGGGAGCGACGCAGATTGCATCACTTCCAGTCCCTGAGTTGTCATTGGTCGGCTCCTGAAGCCCAGCTATAAGCTATTGAAGAGCGATCTGCACCCCAATAGCTTAGAGTGTAAAGGTGACACTGGGGGGTCTTTTGGACCCCCAGCATGACCTTAAGGAGGATCTGTCACTACCATCTGCTAACACATGGGGGGCTTGTAAGCCCCCCTATGTAATAGCAATTAAAGTTAAAAAAAATAGGTTTTTAAAATTAATATTAAATAAAATAAATGTAAAAAAAATGTAAACATTTAAAGTCCCCCGCGAGCCCGCGCGTCGGGTGCGCCTATGTATGAAAACGACAAACGCGTTACACCGGAGTGAGAGCAATAATTCTGTGGCCCGTATTTTTGGGTATCTTTAAATTGATGACCTGTGCGGGGGGCTTTTAAAGCGTCGTCTATGGACTTTGGGGTACTGAATTTTGTCGCCGTTTCACGGACGCACGCAATTTTTCACCCGGGCATGTCGGGTATCTATGTACTCGTTGTAACCTCGTCTTTTATATTTTATTAAACAAATGGGTGCAACATAAAAATTTGTAACTGCCGCCATTCTATTCTACAGGGTCTCGGCTTTCAGAAAATATATCATGTTTGGGGGGGTTTAAGTAATTTTCAGGCCTAAAATGTGGATTATAACATGGGGGCCAAAAAAAAAAGGCCTCGGTCATGAAGGGGTTAAGGAAAAATTACTGAAGACGTTTTTTCTTACATTATGTTATGAAACTTTTTTTTTTTTACACAACTTTATTGTTATCACATAGAGAGCTAAGAATCCCCCTATGTGATCTCAAATTACAGTGACAGGTCCCCTTTATGGAGACAACAGGGGTCTCTAAGACTGCTAATGTCACCTAGGAACCCCCAGAGAAGCTGAAGAAGCCGAGATCTGCTTCACCAGCTTCTGTAGCCGGAGAGTGACAGAGGAATGCAGGAAGTGATGTGATATACATCACTTCCTGCATTCAGAGACCGGGGAGGAGAGCGGAGAGAGATTGTGTACTGATCTCCCTCCGTTCTCAGTGCACGGAGCCGGATCGGACGCCCGGGATCGCGACCACGAGGAGAGCTGGGGGGGCACAGAGAGGTGCATCATTCAATCGATCGGGCCTCTGTACAGACGCCGGACCGCTTGTATGTAAACGGCCATCGCTGGCTGTTTAAAATTCTGGTGGTTCCCGGGCGCGAAGGAAGTCTAACGACGCCCACCCGCATCCAGAAGACTCCCGTCCGGCCGTTTCTGTAGTCGGCGGACGGTAGGTGGTTAAAGGAGAACTATGAGGTCAGGGCTTTTCCCCATAGTTCTCCTTAGGGTCACAGGAGGACACAAACTAGCGTCCTCCCGTCACCCTAAGCTCAGTATATAGGGAGCTACAGCTCGCGGTATACTGAGACTGCGGCAGCCGGAGCGGATCGCGACATCGATGTCGAGATCCGCCCAGCTGCGTGACAGCTGGCTCTGCCTACCTAGAGGCCGAGCCAGCTGTACCCGCCCCCTCCCCCGTCCGTTCCGCCAGTCAGCGCTGGAGGATCGGAATCCAGCCCCTCCCGTCATGGCAGAGAGCAGTGACAGGATCGAGAGGTGAGCGAACGCCGGTATGTGTTCGCTCACCTCCCGATCTACTGAGAAGACCTGTGACAGTCTCATTGTCACAGGTCGGCTAGAACTATGAGGTGAGTGAAAAGCACCCCCCGCCCTCATAGTTCTCCTTTAAGTAAAAAATAACCCCCCCTGCGGTGATTAAATACCACCAAAGGAAAGCTCTATCTGTCCCCCAAAAATGGTATAAAATTCATGTCAGTACAGCGTCGCATGACGGAATAAATGTCAAAGTACCGCAGCGCTGAATACTGAAAAATGGCCGCCACAGGAAGGGGAGGGGCGACGGGACACACCGCCATCAGCAAGGGGTTAAATCTTAACGCCGCCATTCTCTGCCGCTCATATCTGTTCGGGTTTGCAGACTTTCCCAGTTGACAACGTTCCTGCCAGTTGCCACGGCGACGGTTTCCAGGAGCTTGCGCTGTCAGCCGCATGGCGGCGCGTTAAATAATTTATATATTCTTAGTCAGCGAGCCGCCCCGCTGGGCGACGTGTCAAAGCGAATCGAGTGAAATTATCTTTATCTCGCCCGCGGCGACCAAACAAAACAGGCGCCGACAAGGGCACGGAAAGAAAACAACACAATGTTTTTAGGCCTGAAAATCACTTCAAACCCCCCAAACATGATATATTTTCTGAAAGCCGAGACCCCGTAGAATAGAATGGCGGCAGTTGCAAATTTTTATGCTGCACGATATAAGCGCAACTTTTTATCAAACCCCAAAATTTTGTGAAAAATGCCCCAAAACACAATACCCATTTGTTTTATAAAATATATTGTGCAGCGCTTCGTCGTTTTCATACGTAGGCGCACCCGACGCGTGTTTATGTGAAGGACGCACGTGCTCGCGGGGGACTTTAGAATTTTTTTTTTTACATTTTTTTTTAAAATATTAATTAAAAAAACTGTTTTGTTACTTTACTTCAATTCCTCTCACATAGGGGTTACGCAGGCGCACACGACGCGTGTTTTCGTGAAGGCTCGCGGGGGACTTTAAAAAAAATGTTTTTATTATTGTAAATTTTTTTTATTTAATGTTAATTTTAAAAACTTTTTTTTTTTACTTTATTTGCCATCACATAGGGGGCTTACAAGCCCCCCATGTGATAGCATACTGGCAGTGACAGGTACTCTTTAGGCCCCGTTCACATATAGCGACATACCTTTTGCAGCGGATCCGCACGGCCGGGATAGCGCGACTTTCGGGGCGACGTTCCAGCGACGGTAGCGCGACCTTCCCCGTCGGGCTCCATAGAAAAAAAGTAAAATCGCGCAAAATCCGCCGAAAAAAGGGTCCGGTAGAAGCGACTTGCGACCGCGACGAGCGACATGGAGTTAAGACAGCTCCATTGAATAACATTGGCCGGCGACTTCTCGCGATATCGCGGCGGAAATCACGCGACAATTCGCTATATGTGAACGGGGCCTTAAGGTGGGGGGGTCCAAAAGACTCCTAGTGTCACCTTTACACTCTAAACAAGCTATTGAAGTGCAGATCGCAGACTTCAGGAGCCCGGCACAGACAGCTCGGGGACCGGAAGTGATGCAATACGCGTCGCTCCAGGTTCCATAGTCGAGGAGGAGATCGGTGAACGGACGTTCGCCGCTCTCCCGACACCCGAGATGCCGGTCCCGGGCATGTAGGAGGAACAGCTGAGCCCGGGAAACGCGGCGGGAGCAGTTCACCGGCCCGTAGAAGCGATCTGGCGACAGCGGAGCCAATCTCTTCTATTGTAAAGCCGACAGCCGACTCTACAAATGTAAACATGGCGTCTGGTCAAACGGGCCCGTTGCCGGGGATGCACTATGGACGTCACTGGTCACTAAGGGGTTAAAACCTGGGGGGTGCCCATGCATTGCCTTTTTTTTTTTACATGTGGTCAGGATGATTTTGGAGATGAATAATACAAAAAAAAAGTATAATAGAAGTAACTGGCTCTCTCTGAAAGGGTTTCAAAATGGAATCCATGTTTCCTGGTCGTAGTCGTGGCGACGCCGCCCCCAAGGGATTTATGTAACAATAGACGATTTGCATGGTTGGCTCGATCCGGATGCGAACCCTCGGACCCGGCGCTGCACGCGTCCCTTCCCCTGTCAGTGCGAGGACAGAAGGTTGCAAGCGTCTGCCAAACCACACGAGGTAGACCGCCGTTCGCTGACACACAGGAAGTGCCACTCAAAGTCAGAACCTGAAGCGCCGGTTCCCCCTGTACACACAGACCACATGACCGTGGCACGGCGCCCGAGGTTTGCACGCCCTGCTTAACCTTGGTGGTGGACACGTTCAGTTTTAGGAACTTCTAGCAAATGCCAAATAGGGGGAAATACCACAACACATCTTACACGCTTACATCAAGCGCAGTGGCTCAGTGGTTAGCCTTGCAGCACTGAGGTCCCTGGCTTGGATCCAGGTTCGGCCAGGACACAATCTGCATGGAGTTTGCATGGGTGCGCGCCCCCCTATTGAAACGGACCCCGGTATGTGTACATACGAGATGGGGGACCTGAGTCTGTAAGCTTCCTGAGCACAGGGACTGATGTGAATGAGTAGTATGAGGTGCACTGAGGTACAGGACGAGCCTGCGCAGGACATCCCCCGGCCAGATCTTGTATACCTGATGACAGAGAGAGTTAGCGTGTGTGCTCTTGGAACCGATGAACACGGAAGGGGTAGGTCTTGGTATGTCACATATGGGGGGAGCACGTGTAGTGTCAGGGCAGGAAAGAGGAGGCGGCATTACTGTGTGACATTACACTGTTATCTTGCACTGCCGGCTACCCAAAGGCAGTCCCTCCCGGCCACCCAATTGAACTCAATCTGAGGGGAAGGGGGCTCCTGATGTGAAAGGGAAGCACTCTGATGTAAAGAGGGAACGCCATGCCATTTCCCATTTGTGTTTTTGCATGCGGATAAGGGTCTGGTACAGATTTGGGGGAACCGCACGTCATTCACATTCTGGGGTACCCCAAGATTTAGCCAGGTGCCGTCACTGAGGGAAGGTTGAGAGACTCTGAGGTTTGTGTGCTCGGAGTTCTCCTTTAATGATATCGGGGGGGGTGTTTCGTTGAATAAAGTCACTTCCGGTCTCCGGGACACAATACAGGAAACGCGTCACGCGCATGTGGTCGTCACTCACCGTCCAGCCCCAGTGGATGAAGGCGAACTGCTGGTCGTAGCGAAGGGCGAACAGGAAGAAGAAGACGGTGCTGAATACGAGTTCGGTGATGGCGACGCCGAGGTATCCGGGGTGGCGCGAGGCCGCGTAGCAGATCAGGACGATGATGCAGAAAACCTGGAGGAAGGACAAGAAAAACGGGGGTTACGTTCTGCAACAACGACAGACAAATCTCATCCTGCACCGAAGGACGTCATATATTGCAGCTTCTTAGGTGCGGCGGCCGCATTCGTTTTCCCTTCACTTTTAACTTCCTGCCAATTAACACACTTCCTGTCCTAGGGTGACAACGCTCACTACCGCACTGTATCTATGGAAGACCAGCGTTGTCACCCCTAGGACAGGAAGCTTGTTAGGGACTACAACACTCTCAAACATTGTTACAAGTCCTGCCCAAACTACAGAACACCTCCTTTTCCTTGTGTGTGTGTGGGGGGGAGGGGGGGTGTTCTGTAGACCCCCAAGGAAGAGTAGAAACGGGGAATGCTGGGGTACAATGGCAGCCACACACAACAACCAATCAGGTTACAGTTTATATTAGGAGCCATTTGGAAGGACTGTAATATCCCTCCTAGAAATCGTCCCATGTGTGCCTTCTGAAGGCGCAGACCTAGTTTTGCGAAACGCGTAAAAGAATTAAGAAATAATCAGTTCCCCCAGCACAAGCCCCTCCCCCTCGCACGTCTTAGCTCCCTCCTCTTCTATGATTGCCTGTGCTGGCCCAGCTCCTCCACCCCTCCCTGCATAACATATTATCTAGCTGCCAGGAAAGAAGTCAAAGGCAATGCTACAGATCAGGGGAGGGCAATTCCCGGCCCTCCAGCCGTGCTTTCACTACAAGTCCCAGCATGCCTGTGGCAGTCATTGAGTCACAAGTCTTGCAATGCCTCCTGGGAGTTGTAGTTCCACGACAGCTGGAGGGCCGGAGTTTGCCCACCCCGTGCTATACAGGGTCACTTATCTGCTGACATCACATTCAAGATGGCGGCACCCGGGGCTTAGGGATGTCAAACACAAGAGAGGCTTTCACAGGGAAGAAACGTCAATAGAAATGTAAAATTCACATCAAATCTTCCGGAAAGATAGTCGAGGAGTCTGGTGACCGGTCTCTCTATAAAGACTAATTTTTAGCCAAACTCCGGCCCTCCAGCTGTTGTGGAACTACAAGTCCCATGAGGCATTGCAAGACTGACAGCCACGACTCTCAGAGGCAGATGCATGATGGGATTTCAGAGGTGCCCTGAGGTAATGAAGTGTGGGGCCCTGAGGTAATGAATTGTGGGGTTCTGGGGCACTGAATTGTGGGGTTCTGAGGTACAGAATTGTGGGGTTCTGAGGTAATGAATTGTGGGGTTCTGAGGCACTGAATTGTGGGGTTCTGAGGTACAGAATTGTGGGGTTCTGAGGTAATGAATTGTGGGGTTCTGAGGTAATGAATTGTGGGGTTCTGAGGTAATGAATTGTGGGGTTCTGAGGTAATTAATTGTGTGGTTCTGAGGTAATGAATTGTGGGGTTCTGAGGTACAGAATTGTGGGGTTCTGAATCACGGGGTCCTCCTTCCGCCGACTGCTGTACTGTTGGTGCGGCTTAGTCAGGATCTGTGAATGGAGACACCACATGTCCCATCAGCCACTGCAGCAGACGGACTTGTAGTTCTACGTGGTGTGACATCACAACACTAGCAGTCCACGTTACGGTGGCGGGTGCCGGGGAGAGAGCGCTGCCAACGTCAGGTGTCCAACCGCTGGAAAAATGAGAGCCGTCTCAGTTCTTCTGTGCGGTGCACACGAGGCCGGGGTGTGTCAGGAAGGCATTGCCATGTATTAGTCATTCCTTCCTCAGCCGTGTGTATACAGCGCGCCGTCTGGCCTGGATCTCCGTACGCCGCCGCCGAACATCTGCAGCCATAAACACGGCTCTGGTCGCCCTTTATATACATGGGGAGCCAACGTGACAATGTGATTGTAATGTGTATAGTGATCAGAAGAGAGACGGCATTGGTTCTGAACGGGCCGCCTCAACGCAATGCCCGTTCTCCCCCTCCCCCGCTGACCACATATTTTCTGGTGCATGGCCAGATTCCTCAACAGACACCAAGCATAGGAATCCACTTCCTGGCCACCAAAAGCCTATTGCAGACCTAGTCATTACTCTGTAAAAGTGGCAGTGACGTCATCACTGCGCTGGGCTTAGCCTCTAAAAGCAGTGGTGGGCGGTCTTTATTACAGGAGGGGGAGGAGACAAGACAAGGAACATTCTTCCCAATGATCACCACTGAGAGGAACATTCTTCCCACTGATCACCACTGAGAGGAACATTCATCCCACTGCCCACCACTGAGAGGAACATGCATCCCACTGATCACCGCTGAGAGGAACATTCATCCCACTGATCACCACTGAGAGGAACATTCTTCCCACTGACCACCACTGAGAGAGGAACATTCATCCCACTGAGAGGAACATTCATCCCACTGCCCTCCACTGAGAGGAACATTCTTCCCACTGATCACCACTGAGAGAGGAACATTCATCCCACTGATCACCACTGAGAGAGGAACATTCATCCCACTGAGAGGAACATTCATCCCACTGCCCTCCACTGAGAGGAACATTCTTCCCACTGATCACCACTGAGAGAGGAACATTCATCCCACTGATCACCACTGAGAGAGGAACATTCATCCCACTGATCACCACTGAGAGAGGAACATTCATCCCACTGATCACCACTGAGAGGAACATGCATCCCACTGACCTCCACTGAGGAACATTCTTCCCACTGATCACCACTGAGAGGAACATTCATCCCACTGATCACCACTGAGAGGAACATTCTTCCCACTGAGAGGAACATTCATCCCACTGATCACAACTGAGAGGAACATTCATCCCACTGATCACCACTGAGAGAGGAACATTCATCCCACTGACCTCCACTGAGAGGAACATGCATCCCACTGACCTCCACTGAGAGGAACATTCATCCCACTGATCACCACTGAGAGGAACATTCATCCCACTGATCACCACTGAGAGGAACATTCTTCCCACTGACCTCCACTGAGAGGAACATGCATCCCACTGAGAGGGACATTCTTCCCACTGATCACCACTGAGAGGAACATGCATCCCACTGATCACCACTGAGAGGGGCATGTGGCGTAGTGTCCCCGTTGCAGTGACTCCTTTTCACCATTAGATGTCCTCAGTCTCCGACAAATGTCACTGAACCCAGGCGAACGAGTCACTTCCTGTGAGCGCAGGGCGTCATGGCCCCGCCTAGTAAGGTGGAAAAACGAGGCAGGCTGCCAATCCTGACCTCCTTCCGAGTCACCTGCCCTCCAACACAAGCACGCAGCAAGTGAAGTCAGGATGCCCGGCCTGCAGACTTTGAGACGGACAAGCACCCGGCATTTCCAAAAAAGGAGAGCCCCCCCCAGTACCCATCCGGCTGTGAGCGCCCGGCCCGTAAACATCCGACCCGGGAGGTGGAATCCATCATGTGCTGCACCACGCCCCGGCCACTTATCAACACTTCCACCCGTCCCAGAATCCCCCCCTCCTCCCGTCTGTGTACACGCAATGGTGCTACTCCCATCACCTCCACTTATCTGTATTCATTCAAAGCTGGGCCGCCTCCCTCCCCCCTGATGCAATAGCCAACTACTGGTCATAAAAGGGCGGCGAGGAGGAAGGGGGTAGTAGTAGGAGGAGGAAAAAGAGTGTAGAGGAGAGTTGCCGGCGCCGTCAGAACTACTCCAGATTTCTGACTCCCTTTATCATCCAATCGCATCGCTTCTACGGAGGGAGAAGACAACTCCATCCTGTCCTGTTTACACTCCAGACCCGCTGCGAGTGGTCATAGTCATTTCCTAATGCAAAAGGCGTGGATAGAGGAATCTCCACTGGTGGCTATTGCATTCAGGCAGCCGCAAGATTTGTCCATGCAGTCCTGAGATTCACACGGCTCTGGCTGGGGAGGAGGATGCATTTTTGTCTGCTGCAGTTAAGTAACTATTGGCCACGCACACAGATCTGAGAAAAGCGCTAGATTGATGCTAACCGCATGGATGGAGGATTCCCCGCCTGCCGGCTATTGGATCCTGACAGCCGCGGGTCGCTGCTGCTGCTTGGGCATCACAGGCGGCATGGAAGCGCATCACAGGCATGCATGGAGACGCATCACCGGGCATATGGAGGCGCACGCGGCATGGAGGCACATCACAGGCGGCATGGAGGGGCATCACAGGCGGCATGGAGGCGCATCACCCACCGCATGGAGGCGCATTAACACGCGGCATGTAGGCGCATCACAGGCGGCATGGAGGCGCATCACACACGGCGTGGGGGGGGGGCATCACACGCGGCGTGGGGGAGCCTCACAGGCGGCATGGAGGCCCATCGCAGGCGGCATGGAGGCCCATCGCAGGCGGCATGGAGGCCCATCGCAGGCGGCATGGAGGCCCATCGCAGGCGGCATGGAGGCCCATCGCAGGCGGCATGGAGGCCCATCGCAGGCGGCATGGAGGCCCATCGCAGGCGGCATGGAGGCCCATCGCAGGCGGCATGGAGGCCCATCGCAGGCGGCATGGAGGCCCATCGCAGGCGGCATGGAGGCCCATCGCAGGCGGCATGGAGGCCCATCGCAGGCGGCATGGAGGCCCATCGCAGGCGGCATGGAGGCCCATCGCAGGCGGCATGGAGGCCCATCGCAGGCGGCATGGAGGCCCATCGCAGGCGGCATGGAGGCCCATCGCAGGCGGCATGGAGGCCCATCGCAGGCGGCATGGAGGCCCATCGCAGGCGGCATGGAGGCCCATCGCAGGCGGCATGGAGGCCCATCGCAGGCGGCATGGAGGCCCATCGCAGGCGGCATGGAGGCCCATCGCAGGCGGCATGGAGGCCCATCGCAGGCGGCATGGAGGCCCATCGCAGGCGGCATGGAGGCCCATCGCAGGCGGCATGGAGGCCCATCGCAGGCGGCATGGAGGCCCATCGCAGGCGGCATGCAATGGGTGACACATTCCACCAGACCCGGGTATTTCTAGGAGTGTTGCCACCCAGAATGCCCAGTGCAGGGCTCTTGCCCTAAAGAGAACCTGTTGCTTTGACTTCAGCGAAATGCAAGCAAAGCTTCACCCGAACTGCCCTCACCAGCCCACAAGACGGCCAGAATAATGGAAACCCATCAGCAGAGTGCTACGCAGTGATAGGAGAGAAACGGAGATGGAAGAAGTTAGAGTGTGCCCAGGGCACTGCCAGGCTTACTATCTCCGTCGCCAGGACTATCCCCTTCCTGGTCCGCACGTAGGCTTTGACCTGGTCCATGCAGCTGGCGCTCTGCGCTGTTCCCGGGTCCGACATGCTGGCACGGGCGGGCTCGGCGGCTGCTGCTGCTGATGGAGCCGTGTGTGGGAGCTGGCCGTGGGCGTGTCCGGAGAGGCTGTGGGCGGGGTGTGAACACGGGGGGGAACGCCCAGCCGCTCCAACGCCGTGTATGGACAGAGGAGGGTGACAACGCCTCCTGATCAGAGTGCCTGGTATGACAAGGAGGCACAGAGAGCCTCATATCACACACAGAGAGCCTCCTACCTCATATCACACAGGGTCCTACCTTCACCTCTAGATCACTGGGGGCAGGGGCTTCATACAACAGGCCCTGGCATTGTGTAAGGTCGGTGTTCTGTATACAATGTGTACTATACAAAGTGCAATGTGTACTGTATACAATGTGTAATGTGTACTATACAAGGTTCAATATGCAATGTGTGCTATACAAGGTTCAATATGCAATGTGTACTATACAAAGTGCAATGTGTACTATACAAAGTGCAATATGCAATGTGTACTATACAACGTGCAATATGCGATGTGTACTATACAAGGTGCAATATGCAATGTGTACTATACAAGGTGCAATATGCAATGTGTACTATACAAAGTGCAATATACAATGTGTACTATACAAGGTGCAATGTGTACTGTACGAAGTGCAATATGGAAAGTGCGTCTCTGTGCTGCGGTGATTGGTGGTCATTGTAAAAGTTGGGTGTTGTCCTAAAAGTGACCCCATTATCCTCTGGTGAAGAGATTGTACACTCACCTTTCCGGGGGTCCCGTCACCTTCCTCCCCTCCGGCCCTTCAGCCTCACTCAGTGTCTTCAGGGTTATCTGATGCCGTTGGCCCCCCACTGCACGCTGTGGTTCAGTCCCCCAACCCTTACACCCCTGCTGAGTCCTACAGTGACAGAGGTGGGCGGATGGGACCATGTCACACGGCAGGGGGGCACAGACATCTGACAGTCTCATCCATTCAATTAAAAGGAGCCAATGGCTGCAAGAGGAACCCCAACAATGATGTGGGGGCACGCGGTTTAATCCTCTTTTTCCGGTCATGCCCTGAGAACAATGTGAAGGGCCCATGTGTTGCAATAAAAGGCGCAAAAAGTGTCCATCAGTGTAGCGCACACTATTGCCCAGCACAATGCACCGCACGCTAGTTGCATGGCGACCCGATGCACAGGGCCGGCCCTGTAATGAGGCAGCCTGAAGCTGTTGCCTCAGGCGGCATCTCTTTGGGTCACGTGAGAGGGGGACGAGGCAGACAGAGCAGCACGGACGTGTGCCTGCTGCCCCCCTTTCCTGCCCGAGGGTATCTCAGTTTGTTAAGAGTCGGGCAAACAGGGATGCTCTGGCTGGTGCCCCGTTCAGCTCCTGGCAGCCAGTGACGACAATGGCGGCCAAGCACAATTGCTAGGGAGAGAACCTGTGAGCACCTGCATTGTCAGCTGGCACCTGAAGCCGTCTGCCTGTCCTCCTCCTCCCCCCACCAGTAAGTGTTTACTAAGCAAGATTGTATATATATAGTACGAACACTGAGGACAGAGTCCCTCGTACAAAGCTAACCCGGCACCTGCCGCCTCCGCACAGAACCTGGAACTAGTCAGACCTGGAGTACGCTGGAAGTACTCAGGCGTGGAGTACGCTGGAAGTGCTCAGGCGTGGAGTAAGCTGGGAGTGCTTGGACCTGGAGTAAGCTGGGAGTGCTCGGACCTGGAGTGAGCTGGGAGTGCTCAGGCCTGGAGTAAGCTGGGAGTGCTCAAGTGCTCAAGCGTGGAGTGAGCTGGGAGTGCTCAGGCGTGGAGTAAGCTGGGAGTGCTCAGACCTGGAGTAAGCTGGGAGTGCTCAGACCTGGAGTAAGCTGGGAGTGCTCAGACCTGGAGTAAGCTGGGAGTGCTCAGACCTGGAGTAAGCTGGGAGTGCTCAGACCTGGAGTAAGCTGGGAGTGCTCAGACCTGGAGTAAGCTGGGAGTGCTCAGACCTGGAGTAAGCTGGGAGTGCTCAGACCTGGAGTAAGCTGGGAGTGCTCAGACCTGGAGTAAGCTGGGAGTGCTCAGACCTGGAGTAAGCTGGGAGTGCTCAGACCTGGAGTAAGCTGGGAGTGCTCAGACCTGGAGTAAGCTGGGAGTGCTCAGACCTGGAGTAAGCTGGGAGTGCTCAGACCTGGAGTAAGCTGGGAGTGCTCAGACCTGGAGTAAGCTGGGAGTGCTCAGACCTGGAGTAAGCTGGGAGTGCTCAGACCTGGAGTAAGCTGGGAGTGCTCAGACCTGGAGTAAGCTGGGAGTGCTCAGACCTGGAGTAAGCTGGGAGTGCTCAGACCTGGAGTAAGCTGGGAGTGCTCAGACCTGGAGTAAGCTGGGAGTGCTCAGACCTGGAGTAAGCTGGGAGTGCTCAGACCTGGAGTAAGCTGGGAGTGCTCAGACCTGGAGTAAGCTGGGAGTGCTCAGACCTGGAGTAAGCTGGGAGTGCTCAGACCTGGAGTAAGCTGGGAGTGCTCAGACCTGGAGTAAGCTGGGAGTGCTCAGACCTGGAGTAAGCTGGGAGTGCTCAGACCTGGAGTAAGCTGGGAGTGCTCAGACCTGGAGTAAGCTGGGAGTGCTCAGACCTGGAGTAAGCTGGGAGTGCTCAGACCTGGAGTAAGCTGGGAGTGCTCAGACCTGGAGTAAGCTGGGAGTGCTCAGACCTGGAGTAAGCTGGGAGTGCTCAGACCTGGAGTAAGCTGGGAGTGCTCAGACCTGGAGTAAGCTGGGAGTGCTCAGACCTGGAGTAAGCTGGGAGTGCTCAGACCTGGAGTAAGCTGGGAGTGCTCAGACCTGGAGTAAGCTGGGAGTGCTCAGACCTGGAGTAAGCTGGGAGTGCTCAGACCTGGAGTAAGCTGGGAGTGCTCAGACCTGGAGTAAGCTGGGAGTGCTCAGACCTGGAGTAAGCTGGGAGTGCTCAGACCTGGAGTAAGCTGGGAGTGCTCAGACCTGGAGTAAGCTGGGAGTGCTCAGACCTGGAGTAAGCTGGGAGTGCTCAGACCTGGAGTAAGCTGGGAGTGCTCAGACCTGGAGTAAGCTGGGAGTGCTCAGACCTGGAGTAAGCTGGGAGTGCTCAGACCTGGAGTAAGCTGGGAGTGCTCAGACCTGGAGTAAGCTGGGAGTGCTCAGACCTGGAGTAAGCTGGGAGTGCTCAGACCTGGAGTAAGCTGGGAGTGCTCAGACCTGGAGTAAGCTGGGAGTGCTCAGACCTGGAGTAAGCTGGGAGTGCTCAGACCTGGAGTAAGCTGGGAGTGCTCAGACCTGGAGTAAGCTGGGAGTGCTCAGACCGGGTGTAAGCTGGGAGTGCTCAAGTGCTCAAGCGTGGAGTGAGCTGGGAGTGCTCAGGCGTGGAGTAAGCTGGGAGTGCTCGGACCTGGAGTGAGCTGGGAGTGCTCAGACCTGGAGTAAGCTGGGAGTGCTCAGACCGGGTGTAAGCTGGGAGTGCTCAAGTGCTCAAGCGTGGAGTGAGCTGGGAGTGCTCAGGCGTGGAGTAAGCTGGGAGTGCTCGGACCTGGAGTAAGCTGGGAGTGCTCGGGCCTGGAGTAAGCTGGGAGTGCTCAGGCCTGGAGTAAGCTGGGAGTGCTCGGACCTGGAGTAAGCTGGGAGTGCTCGGACCTGGAGTAAGCTGGGAGTGCTCGGACCTGGAGTAAGCTGGGAGTGCTCGGACCTGGAGTAAGCTGGGAGTGCTCGGACCTGGAGTAAGCTGGGAGTGCTCGGACCTGGAGTAAGCTGGGAGTGCTCGGACCTGGAGTAAGCTGGGAGTGCTCGGACCTGGAGTAAGCTGGGAGTGCTCGGACCTGGAGTAAGCTGGGAGTGCTCGGACCTGGAGTAAGCTGGGAGTGCTCAGGCCTGGAGTAAGCTGGGAGTGCTCAGGCCTGGAGTAAGCTGGGAGTGCTCGGACCTGGAGTAAGCTGGGAGTGCTCAGGCCTGGAGTAAGCTGGGAGTGCTCAGACCTGGAGTAAGCTGGGAGTGCTCAGGCCTGGAGTAAGCTGGGAGTGCTCAGGCGTGGAGTAAGCTGGGAGTGCTCGGACCTGGAGTGAGCTGGGAGTGCTCAGGCCTGGAGTAAGCTGGGAGTGCTCAGGCATGGAGTAAGCTGGGAGTGCTCGGACCTGGAGTGAGCTGGGAGTGCTCAGGCCTGGAGTAAGCTGGGAGTGCTCAAGCGTGGAGTAAGCTGGGAGTGCTCGGACCTGGAGTAAGCTGGGAGTGCTCAGGCCTGGAGTAAGCTGGGAGTGCTCAGGCCTGGAGTAAGCTGGGAGTGCTCGGGCCTGGAGTAAGCTGGGAGTGCTCGGACCTGGAGTAAGCTGGGAGTGCTCGGACCTGGAGTAAGCTGGGAGTGCTCGGACCTGGAGTAAGCTGGGAGTGCTCGGACCTGGAGTAAGCTGGGAGTGCTCGGACCTGGAGTAAGCTGGGAGTGCTCGGACCTGGAGTAAGCTGGGAGTGCTCGGACCTGTAGTACGCTGGGAGCACCTGCGCTGACAGACCACCATGTGCACTCTTTCAGTTGGCCATCAAGTCTATCAGAGACCCGACAACCCAACAGACAAATGAATGAGTGCGCAAGGCGACAACGCTTCTGCTAACTGCGAGGCATCGGCTTAGCGTTGTCAGCCTGCAACAGGAAGCGCTGTTACCCGGCAGGATCTCTGGGTTGGAAACTTTGTAACAGATTCTTACAAAAAAAAAAAAGGATTTGCTTGAGGAAAGTGTATCCAGCGGGAATGTGAGGCGGCGGTGCGGAGGGGCGACACGGTGCTGCTAGATTTAGCAGGTAATGGTGGAAAGGTCGGCGGTCGCGGAAGGAATGCGGTGGGCGTCATACTGGGAGCGCGGCATAGCTCAGGCTATTAAGGGAATCCCTATGTGTCGCCACTCCCCGTCGCCATGGCTACCAGGAGACAAGAGTCAGACAAGAAGTGGCTTGTGGTCGGGTTCCAT